CTGTTCTACTTAGATTGTTCTATGATTAGCAGTTCTTACCATCAGTAAATTCCTTGTATGATTCAGTCTGAATTTCTTTTCTTTTAATTTCAACCCATGGGTGATTCTTCTACTTTAGACTTCAACAGAGAACAAGTCTGCTTCCTCTTGCATATGACAGTCTTTCAAATACTTGTAGACTGTGTTCATATCTTCCCTTAGTCTTCCCTTTTGAAGTGAAACATGCCAGCCCTTTGATCATTCCTCACAGTACTTGATTTCAAGATCACCAATCATTCTAGTAGGTCTCCTATGAGCACATTCTAACTTTTCTAAGGTCCTTTTAAACTGTGGTGTTCAGAATTGGACAATTTGTTTTTACCTCTTAATCTAGCCTACAGCCCTGGGATTTCCTAGTAGTCTCCCATCCAAGTTTTAGACCTCCTTGGCTTTTCAAGATTATCCAGGTTTGGCTACATGGTATCACCTGATTGGGTAATCCAATGTAAAAAGGTTGCCCCCACCTTTTCATATACTGTTGTTTCCAGCTAGTAGGGCAAACATAGTGTGGTATTTTAATAACATTCTCAATGCTTTGTCCTTCACCAGTGCCATCCTGGTACCTTCTAAAAGCAGTATTTGAAAGATCTGCCATGAAAAGTAAGGAACTATGCCTCTCTTGTTCCTGTAGTTTGGACACAACTTTGCAGGAGGAAATCCAGAAGTCAAAGAGAATTACTTTGTATTTAGATAAACAACTGAAACAATTTCCCCCCAGCTTCTTTATTTTTTCTGAGTCAGCTCTTGCCTGCACCTCTTTTCCTTCAAAGACTTCCTTCATCTATAGAAGGTCTTAAAATGAACACTGTGGCAGGCATACAACATTTGCATTTTGTGAATTTTCTTGAATCCAGAGTTTGTTCCAGACAGTTATGGAAACTGCTTCAATCTGTCATTCCAAGGTAGAAGGATAAAAAGGCAGCCAAAATTATTAGCACCCTACAAGAAAAGATTGCAGCATTTGGAGCATTTTAATTAGACCCATGGTGAATAAGAAGAGATGTGATATATATGCATCATGCATGGGATGAAGATGTGGACAGAGATACATAATGTTAGAACACAGGTCATCTAAGGAAATAAAGTGTAGGGAGATTCAAAAATATGTCCATATTCTACACATAAATAATTATAAATTTGCTGCCATCAGAGGTGATGCTGGATAATTTTATATATTTTTAATAGGGGCTAGAAAAATTGATGGAGGATTAGGATGGATGGATGGATGGATGGATGGATGGATGGATGGATGGATGGATGGATATATATATATATATCCCTTCTCACCCCTATGGGTGGTATGTGTCTTCCTCAGTCTCGGGTCTTCTACTAGAGGCCCGGGAGTTTGAGGGTTCTGTGCAATATCTGAGCTGTTCCTAGCACTGCACTCTTCTGGACAGAGAGCTCT